CAAAGCCCACTTTGGATCCTCTGCCTCCCCTCTCTCTGTCCCGCCATTGCTCACTATCTCTCAAAAATAAATAAAAACCTTAAAAACACACACACAAGGAGGCTGACTTCTCTTATGAACATAAGCTTTTTTGAAGTTTCTGCCTTGTTAGTAATGACATAGAAATAGTAACACTTCCCCTATATAAATAATGATAGATTGATTTATTAAAGAGTGATTAAAATGACCAGCCTATATTCTGAGATCTAGTGTTGCTTACCTGGACAGGGAAAAAGTAGCAAAGACATGGTGGACTATGAGAAAGAATAACATGATTTAAAAACAAAATCATTCAAGTCTTGATATATAGTGCAATTAATCTTTTCAAATTTGCTTTATGATTTAGCATATACACCGGTAAATTAACACCTCTTTGCTTTCACTTGAAAAGTTAACCATGTGACAGGGCTCCTGGGTGGCTCAGTTGGTTGGGTGTCCGACTTTGGCTCAGGTCTTGATCCCACGTTTCGTGGGTTGGAGCCCTGCGTCGGGCTCCGTGCTGACAGCTAGCTCAGAGCCTGGAGCCTATTTTAGATTCTGTGTCTCCTCCTCTCTCTGACTCTCCCCTGCTCACGCTGTCTCTCTCAGAAATAAATAAAACATTAAAAAAATGTTTTTTAAGAAAAGTAAACCATGTGAATAAGCAACATTTTCTTTCTTTTTTTTTTAATGTAGGTTTCCCAGAAATGTTTTGCAGCTTTAAGCAAAAGTTTCTCCTGAATATGTACTTATTTACATGGTTTTAACATGACAGAAAAAAATAAAAACCAAATACAAAACAGTTATATTTTTAAGGCATAAGAAGAGCTGATTACTTTGGTGTTAAATTACCAGCTATAATTTGGGTAGTGGCAGGAGATTACTGGGCCAAAAATATCCACTCTGAGGCCTGAGTGATACAGATTCTTAATTTATTCTCAGGGGATAACTTTATGGGGGTGTCATTCTATATTACTTTTACAACACATCTGCTTGTTCTGTTGCCCCACTCTGCAATCAGACTACATGAAGGACTCGTCATGTGACACTCTTTTTCAGTATAAGTTAAAGTTATGGATTCTATGTGCAGAAAGTATAAACACACATTTGCATACAATTTTAAAATATTCTTAGATTTCAAAGCACTGTGTATCTGGTCCCAGGTTAAGAAATTATTTTGCATTGATACATATGCCATGAACTTGCCTTTTCATTAAACAGCCTTTTCCTTGCCATTGAAGTCTATATAACTTCCACAATGTGGAATATTCTCAGCTGCCAGTGGGTATAATGCTTGCTGGAAGATAGAACAGTAAAGAAGAGGATCTTTGCCTGCCAGTAGTAAACCCCAGAAGGGTACATGCCAGCACACAAAGGGAATGAACAAGTCCTAAATACTACAGTCTGTCCTCACTGACAGCCCAAAGAAGTCAAACTTCAATTTGTCTAATGTTCAAATTTTAGCTTTTGATTTTATGGTAGATTTGATAGACAAATGTATATTTTACATAAATAATTATAGAATAACTTCTATCTTTCCTCTTCTAAATGGTTAAAAATATGTCTTTATGGCTTCTCAACTAATCATCATGGGGAAAAAATGGACACAAAAGAAAACATGGCTGGTTTCCAACTTTTTTTGCGAAGAACAGTGCAGTGGCAAAGAAGAATTAAGTACAGCAGTTAAATCTTTTGCTTAAGTTTCTTCTTTTTCTTTTCCTTTTTTTTTTCACAATTAGGAAATGCATTCATCATACAAATTCTTACTGTCAGATTGATCCCAATAGCTTACACTGAAGACCTTTTATGAAGCTGATGGGTAAAAATTATATGAGTCAAGCTCCAAGATGAATACAACAATGAAAAGCTTTTTTTCTCCTCTTGGGGAAAAGTCAGAATTTTTAGCGTCAAAGTTTTAAAATATTACTAAAAAATAAGCATAATGTGAGAGAGATTAGTTAGTCAAATTTGGGTGAGATAAATATTTTAAAAGTGGAAGAATGTACTTCTGCTTCCAGAGAAGATGGACTAGTAGGGACTGAGTTTACTCGCCTGACCAAAACAAATTAAAAAACTGAATAAATATATGAATCATTGGTTTTCAAGAAATTGGACATCAGGAAATGAGTGACAATGATCCAATGAAACAGAACACAAATGAGATGAGCACCAAGATTGCCCCAGTGTATTGCCTATAAACAGACATCAAGTCTGGCTATCAATAAAAAAAGTACAGGGGCTCCTGGGTGGCTCACTTGGTTAAGCATCCAACTCTTGGTTTTCACTCAGGTCATGATCTCACAGTTTGTGAATTCAAGCTCCACATTGTGCTCCACGCTGACAGTATGGGACCTGCCTGGGATTCTCTCTCTCTCCATCTCTCTCTGCCCCTCCCTCTGCTCATGCTGTCTTTCTCTCTCAAAATAAATACACTTAAAAAAAAAGTACAAAGCACACTGAAAAGGCTAAACTCCCTCCCCCACCAAAACCAGAAGAACACAATTTGAAGAAAAGGAGCAAGCATCAGAACCAGACATGCCAGGGATGTTGGAATTATCGGACCAGGAATTTGAAACAACTATGATTAATATGCCAAGGACTCCAATAGATAAAGTAAACAGAATGCATGAACATATAAAAAATGTGAGCAGAGATATAGAAATTTGGTTCTAAGAAAGAATCAAAAAGAAATACTAGGGATAAAAAAATACTGTAACAAAGAATACTTTTGATGGGCTTATTAGTACACTGGATATGGTGTACTAATCTCTGAGCTTATTAGTACACTGGATATGGTATAAAGAATCTCTGAGCTTGATGATATATTCATAGAAATCTCAAAAACTGAAAGGCAAAGAGAAAAAAGACTGAGAAAACCATAACAGGATATCCAAGGACTGTGGGACAACTACAAAAGGTGTGATAAAGTATAATCGGAATACCATAAAGAGAAGAGAGACAGAATGGAATAGGAGAAATATTTGAAACCATAATAATTGAGAATTTTTCTCAAATTAATGTCAGACACCAATTCATAAATTCAGGAATCTCAGAGAACACCAAGAAGGATAAAACCCAAAAACCTTACACCTAAGCATATCATTGTCAAAGATAAAGAAAAAATTATTCAAATAACAAAACAAAACAAAAATAAAAACCAACAGAGAGAAAAAACACCTTACCTATAGAGGGAAAAAGGCAATAATTATATCCAACTTCTCCTAAGATACTATGCAAGTAAGAAAGTAGAGTGAAATACTTAAAGTATTAACAGAAAAAAAATCAACCTGGAGTTCTGTATCCTGTGAAATTATCCTCCAAAAATGAAGGAGAAACAAAGACTTCCTCAGACAAATTGATACTGAGGGAATTTGTTGCTGGTAAACGAACCTGCAATAAATGTTAAACTAAGTTCTTTAGAGAGAAGGAAAATCAATATAGGTTAGAAACTTAAATCTACATAAAGAAAAGAAGAGCATTGAAGAAGGAATAAATGAAGATAAAATAAAAACTTTTGTTTATCTTATTCTTAATTGATCTAATAGATAACGGCTTATTCAAAATAACAATAGCAACAATGTATTTGGTTATGTATTCCTATGTATGTGTGTACGCCTATGTGCGCATACATATGGTTGTGTATGCTTATATATAAGTGAAATGTATGACTGCAGTGATACAAGGGACAAGACAGAGGAATAGGATTATTTTGTTATTATAAGGTATTCATACTACTTGTGATGTAGTAGAGAGTTATTTGAAAGTGGAATTGGATTAGTTGTAAATGTAGGTGGAAAATTCTAGGGCAACAACTGAGAAAAGTAAAAAAAAAAATCTATATACCTATATATATAATTGATATGCTAAGAAAAGAGAGAAAATGGTGTCATATAAAATGTTCAATTAAAGCCATAAAAGGCAGAAAAAGAGTAGAAGACAAAATTAGGAACAAAGAATAAGGACAACAAGTGGAAAAAATTAACAAATATGGTAGATATTGATCCAACTGTATCAATAATCATTTTGAATGTCAGTGTTCTAAATGCATCAATTAATAGATGGAAAGACAAATATAAATTAAAATAAAATTGGGAATTAAATATAAACTTAAAATACATAGAGACAAATATAGATTAAAAGTTAGTGAATGGAGAAATATATACAGTATGAACACTAATTTAAAAAGAACAAGAGTAGCTATATTAATTTCAAATAGAGCAGACATCAAAGCAAAGAAAGTTATCAGAGATAAAGATATACATTACATAATGACAAAGCAGTTAATTCTTCAAGAAGACATAACGGTCTTTAACATGTATTCACCTAAAACAGAGTGTCAAACTACATAAGGCAAAATCTATAGACCAGAGAAGAGAATTAGATGGATCCATTATCATAGTTGGAGACTTCACTACCCTTCTACCAGATATTAACATATTCAGAAGGCAGAAAATCAGAAAGGTACAACAATGCCAACAATGACATAATTGACAACTATATCCTATTTCATCTAACAACAATAGAATATACATTTTTCTCAAGTTCACATCGAACATTCACCAAGATAAACCACATTCTGAGCCATAAAACACACCTTAATTTAAAACAATAGAAATCAAACAATGTCTGCTCTCAGACCACAATGGAACCAAACTTGAAATCAATAACAGAAAGATAATTGGAAAATCCCAAAATATATGGTGATAAACAACACACTTCTTAACAACAGAGGGATCAAAGAAGAAATATCAAGAGAAATTTTTTAATATTTTGAATTAAATGAAAATGAAAGCACAATTTATCAAAACTTGTAGGATGCAGTAGGGGGAAATTTATAGCATTGAATGCATATATTTAAAAAAGATAAAAGAGCTAAAATCAACAATCCAAATTTCCACTGTGGAAACTGGAAAAAAATAAGCAAATTAAATCTAAAGTAAGCAGAAGAAAAGAAATAATAAGAATTAGAGCAGAGTACTCACTTCGGCAGCACATATACTAAAAAAAAAAAAAATGGGAAAGATACAGAAATTAGCATGGTCCTTGTGCAAGAATGACACACATTTTTTTGAAATGTTTCATATTTTTCACTATATTGTACACCTGAAGCGAATATAGTACTGCATGTTAACAATATTGGAATTAAAATGAAAATGTAATATAAAAATTATCACAAATTACATTAAATAAAGAATTACAGCAGAAATCAAAACAGGAAAAAATGGGATACCAATAGGAAAAAAATCAACAAAATCAAAGGCTAGATCTTTGAAGAGATCAATGAAATCAATAAGTGTCTAGCCAGACTAACAAAGAAACACAAGACACAAGTTATTAATATCAGAAATGAAAGAGGGAACATTACTATAGATCCCATGGGTATTAAAAGGATAATAGAGGAATACTATGAACAACTCTATACCTACAAATTTTACAAATTAGATGAACTGGACCAGCTCTTTAAAAGACACAATTTCCAAAACCCACACAAGAAGAAACACAAAATCTGAATAGATCTGTATCTATCTAGTAAGGAAATTGAATCCATGATTAACAACCTTCCAAAACAGAAAACACCAAGCCCAGATGGGTTCACTGGGCGAGTATGTCAAATATTTAAGGAAGAAATTATAATTCTTTACAATCTCTTTCAGAGAATAGAAGCAGAGAGAATACCTCCTAACTTATTTTATGAGCCTGCATACAAAACTAGACAAAGACATTAAAGAAAATAAAACTATACCAATATCTCTCATGAACATAGATGCAAAGATTTTCAACAAAATACTATTTCCTATATACCACCAATCAAGTGGAATTTGAGATTAAAAAATACAATAACATTTTCATAGCACCCAAAAACATGAAATATGTAGTTAGAAATCTAACAAAATACGTACAAAAATCTGTGTGACGAGAACTACCAAACTGATGAACAAAATCAAAGAAGAATAAAGAGATGGAGAGATATTCCATGTTCATGGATACAAAGATTCAATACTGTCAAGATTTCTTTTCTTCGCAACTTGATCTATAGATGTGATGCAATTCCAATTGCATCACAGAAATCTCAACAATTATTCTGTGAATACGGACAAACTGATTCTAAAGATTATATACAGAGGTAAAAGATCTAGAATAGCCAACACAATATTGAGGAACAAGAACAAAACTGGAGAACCTAAACTACTGACCTTTAATACTTATTATAAAGCCACAGTAATCAAGACAGTGTGGTATTGGTGAAATAATAGACAATGGAGCAGTATAGAGAGCCCAGCCAGATGAATCTAGACACAGACTTTACACCCTTTACAAAAATTAACTCCAAATGGATCACAGACCTTAGTAAAATGCAAAACTATAAAACTCCTAGAAGACATCATAGAAGAAAATCTAGATGAACCAGTATGACAATGACTGCTTAGATTCAACACCAAAGTCACAGTCCATAAAAGAAATAATCGTTTAGCTGGACTTCATTACAATTAAAAACTTCTTTGTGAAAAGCAATATCAAGAAAATGAAAGACAAGCGATAGACTGGGAGAAAATATTTACAAAATACACATCTGATTAGAGATTCTTACCCAAAATATACAAAGAACTCTTAAAACTTAATAAGAAAACAATCCAATTTTTAAAATGGGCCAAAGACCTTAGTAGACACCTAACCAAAGAAGATATACAGACGGCAAATATCCATATGAAAGGATGCTCAACATTATAAGTCATCAAGGAAATGCCAACAGTGAGATACACTATTAGTATCTAATAGATACACTAATAGATACACATCTATTAGTACTTATGGACAAAATTCAGAACACTGACATACCAAATGCTGGTGAGGATGTGAGAAAACAAAAAGTCTCATTCATTGCTGATGGAAATGGAAAATGGTACAGCATCTTTGGAACACAGTTTGATGGGTTCTTACAAACTAAACATTCTCTTACTTTATGATCCAGTAATCATGCTCCTTGGTATTTACCCAAAGGGGTTGAAAACTTATATCCACACAAAATCCTGCACACAGATGTTTATATCAGCTTTATTCATAATTGTCAAAACCTGGAAGCAACCAACATGCCCTTCAAATAGGTGGACAGATAAATAAACTGGTACAATCAGATAATGGAATACTAGTTAGTACTAAAAAGAAATGAATTTTCAAGCTCTGAAAAGAGAGCTAAGAAACTCAAATGTGTATCAGTGAAGGAAGCCTAACTGTAAAGGTTATGTATTATATGATTCCAAACGTGTGACATTCTAGAAAAGGCAAAATTATGGAGACAATAAAAGATCAGTGGTTGCTAGGGATTGGGGGTGGTTGGGTTTGGAATACATATGCATGCAGAGCACAGAGGATTTTTAAATGGTGAAAGTACTCTATATATCATAATGATGGATATATATCATTATACATTTGTCTGAACCTATAGAATATATGACACCAAGACTGAACCTTGATATAAACTATGGACTTTGGATGATTATGATGGGTCTATATAGGTTCATCAATTATAAGAAATATACTATTCCAGTGGGGATGTTGATAATGAGGGAGGCTCTGCATAATGAAGGTAGAGGCTGTGATTTCTCTGTACCTTCCTCTTAATTTTGCTGTGAACCTTAAACTGCTCTTAAAAAGTCTTTTCTAAAAAAACAAAAACTACATCGGATTATGTAAAATCCTAAGTGTATCCCAACCTCTGGTGTGGTAAATATAATGAAAAAATATAGATAATTGTTGAAGCAGTTATTAGCATTAGTTGACTATTTTTGGTGTCACATTTAACCAGTTTTAATTAAAGTGACTCATGTCATGAGCTATTAAGTGATGGTATTATATTCCTTTTGCTTACAGGTGACAGAAATTAAATGTGATCTATACTAAACAAACAGGAGAATTTACAATATGGATATAGGATTTTCTCATCCATCCCAAGGATGGGAATTTGGTATCAAGTAAAAGAAGGGATTTGGACATCTGGTCTAGCACTTTTCACATGGAGGAAAATTTAGTAAGGAGTAAGTATGATCAAGCAACTGGTTAGTTCATAAAAGAGAGATGGTTCAAATGGACCATTCTGTTCTCAGATCACATTAAAGACGTTTTTCTGGTTAATATAACAATAATTATATAAAACTGACACTTTATCATGTGATATCACATTTAATTCTTACAACACTGAAAGATGGGTGCTATTACTTCCATGTTATAGCTGTGGAGGATACAACTTAAAGAAATTAAATGATTTATAAGTAAATAAAAAGCTGCGGTGTAACAGCGTTAAGGTTTAAATTCTTTCTACATCCAAAATCAATGTTAATTTTATTCCATATTGTCATGAAACAATAATGTAAGTAAATTTCACTTTGGAAATTCTGAAAAAATTAATGATTGCCTGTATCTGTTGTCGATTATGTAAGTCTTAACACCCTGCTTGAGTTTGGGGGATTTAGGATTGTTAAATTAAAGAAATATACACTTTGGCACCTGGCTGGCTCAGTTGGCAGAGCACTCAACTCCTGGTCTCGGGGTCAAGAGTTCAAGGCTCACATGGGAGGTAGAGATTACTTAAAAACGAACAAACAAAAAAATAGAAATATACACTTGAGGACACTGTGGATATAGGTAACTTGGAGTTAGAATATAAATTCTCTTTTCTCAAAGATTTTAAAATCTCTCTTCTAATACATTCCGAAAGAAGCATTTAGAACAAACGTTGCAAATGCCTAACAGACTGGGATTTGGTTTTGCGAAAAAAGACAGAGATATTAGAAAATGTCATTTTTAGTCAAGCTAGTATAGCATAGTCAGCATTCTGTCCTTGAGAGTAATGTCAAGAGACATAGGCATACTACACCCTGTAATGTTACTTGAAAAAAGTTAAAGAGGTTTTCTGAAACAATTCTTAACTTCTGAACGGATATGACTTTTATATATTAAGAACTTTTATTTTAAATGTTTTAAGCCAATAATATTATTTCCTTTGTCTTCTCAAAGGAACAAATACAATTTGGGGGTACAGTAAGAATTCACTGGTCCTAAACTTCTCCTCTTTCAAGCTTTAAGAAGTGCTCACAGGACACATTACTTATGCAGCATTCATGCCAAAAACATTAATCTAATCATGAGGAAACAATCAGAGAAATTCAAATTGAGAAACAGTTTGCAAAATAATTCGCTTGGACTCTTAAAAACAATCAATGATGAGAAAGATGAAAAAGGCTGGCTGACTTTTCCATATTAAGGGAGAGTAGAAAGTTATGCCAAATAAATGTAGTAAGAGCTATCTGATTGGGCTCTGAATCAAAAAAAGACTACAAGGAAAGAAGGAAGGAAGGAAGGAAGGAAGGAAGGAAGGAAGGAAGGAAGGAAGGAAGGAAGGAAGGAAGGAAGGAAGGAAGGAAGGAAAGAATGGCAAACTATAGAGGACTTTATTGGGACATTTGGAGAAATTTAGACCAGGTTATATACTAGATAATAGCATTAATGTTAAATTTCCTACCATGATAATATAGGGTGATACTCTAGGAGACACACTTCCTTTTGAGAGGTATATTCTGAAGCATTCAGTAGTTAATAAGAATAATAACAAGAACAACTTGCTAGGTTCTGGAACTCTAGATCTTGATGAATAAGTTTGTGTTTATCCTACTTATTTTCATCCTAAAAGTTTTCAGGTTTCAAACAATATTTTTAGTCCATTTTCTAGCAGACAACTTTTCATATCTTTGTCATTTTAATTACCTTTCTCTAGATGGTTTAGCTTTATGACTTTACGTTTCCCTTGAGGTGTGGTGACTAGAACCAAAAAGTGTTTCTAATGCTGATGTACAGTAGTATGGGATAATGCTTTATATTTCCAGTGCTCTTCCTTGTGACACTTTGCATTCATTTTGATAAAAAAGCTTTTTAGGACAATGTTTTACAAGGAATAATGTAAAATCCCTTTAGATCCTTGGTCTAGCGGTTCATCTGGGAGTCTTACCATTTGATATCGTTGGTTTGGCCCTTTTCTCCCCAGAAAACCTTAGTGTCAACTGAAAACTAGTCAATTTTAATGTGCATTTGTATTC